GTTCTGCTGATCATCCTGAAGCAGCCTCCGGTCTCCGGCGCTGAGCCATTCGGGAAATCCATCCTCACTTTGCCCCAAAAGCGTCCGGCGAATCGGCACGTTTAGCTTCGCCAACACTCTGATTATCTTCGCCACAATCGCCAAGCTGTTGCTCACGAACTCGGTCGAGTTCTGCATTTTTGTCCTCAATTGAGGAGTAATTGTGGAATTCAGTTCGTCGAGCGCGTCCAGGCAGGTTTCCTGATCCGTGATCGTGGTGCTGAGCCAGGTCTGCATGTCGTCGATCTTCGAAGACGACAGCAGCCTCTCCTCCTTCCTCACCTCCATCGACGAAACGGAGTCGTTTAGCCTGTCCATGGCGTCGTCCAACACGGATTTGCAGACGCCGAGGGCCTCCTTCAGCCGCGTGTCGTTGGTCTTCGCTATGAGCTCGTCGGGGTACTTGGACAGCCTCGAGAGCTCATCAATGGCGACGCGGAGAGAGAGCTTGAAGATGACCTCCGGGTCGGAGGTGTTGGAACCCCGGAGGGAGGAGTAGCAGGAGCTCGGGTACTGAGTCACGCTGCAGAGAGTGGTGAGCGACGCGGCCGGAGTCAATTCGGTGGCCGGAGCCGAGTTCTCCGACGAGGAAGACGAGCTGTTCCGCTTGTGTATAACGATTCCGGCGACGGCGCCGATTATGACGGCCAAGAGGATTACGGAGGAGACGACGATGGTGATCAGACGCCGGCGGGTCTTTCGGCGGAAGGCTTGCTGTTCGAGTTCGTCGACTTTGCCATAGCCCTTGAAGGACTTGATTGAATCCATGGTTTTTCTTTACTTGAATCTGATAATCAGTGTGAAGTTTTCGAGTTTGAAAAGAGGGCGAGTGAAAAATGGAAGGAGATTTGGTTTGGGATTTAAATTGGTGGCAATTGGCAAAGATGGATTACTTCTCTTTCTTTGATGCTTCTTTTGCCAATTATATTTTAAAAATTGGTTTTAATATTATTTTATCAAGTAAGCAAGAAGTAAACGTCGTCGTCATGTTCTCTTTGGCATCAAAACACACAGATATTTGGTAAAGTTTCCAAATTCCATGTCACTTATGGTTGATATGACAAGTAACGCCCTAGTTGGTGAATTTATTTTCGTATTTATTTGTTCCAACAGTGATTTGTAATTTTATATACTCCTTTCATAAATTAAAATTAAAATTGAAACTTGGTTTATCTTTTCACTGTTGCTTCGATTAAGATAGGAATAGGTAATTATTGTTGAAAACTACATTAACATATTGTCCTTTTAAGTTTAACATTACTTTTACTTATAAAGTTTGTAAAATCTCTTAAGAATAATAAGCTTCATGGTATACTCTTAACCGGAAGTTCTTCAGAAAAAAAAATATATATATATATATATATTAATACTTTCACACAAAAAAAATACTAATATTATACTAATATTACTATTAAATACTAACATTATTCTACAAAAAAATACTAAATACTAATATTATTCTAGAGTATTCGATACTAAATCGAAGAATATGTAAACAAATATTGAGAAGGTTACATTTTCATAAAGATGATAGAATTTTTTACTTTATTTTATTTTATTGGCTTTTTTCTAATTAAGAATTGGGACTTTAGTTGTTTTACTAGTAAGTTTCTTGATATCATATCGAGGAATTTATTACCAAATCGTAATAATTATTGGGAAGTTTTACTAAAGATGATAGAGCAAAAGTATTCAATACTAATATTATTATTTTATATTAGTATTCGATACTGATATTATTTTTTTTACCATAAAAAAAATACTAATAGTAGTTTAGAGTTAATGACCACTATGGAAAATGAACTCTTTCGTCTTATTAAGATTTTCTAAAATATTTATTATTATTAGGGCTTCATTCCATTTTATTTTACAATGTGAATCAATTGTTTGATCTAATGATCCTTCGCACTTCATTTCATAATCTCTTACAGACAAATTTTATGCTCTATCATCTTTATCAAACCTTCCGAAAAATTATTACGATTTGGTTATAAATTCCTCGATATGATATCAAGAAACTTACTAGTAAAACAACTAAAAGTCCTAATTCTTAATTAGAAAAAATCCAATAAAATAAAAATAAAGTAAAAAATCTACGCACGAAAATATGATCTATCATCTTTATGAAAATGTAACCTTCGCAATATTTGTTTACATATTCTTCGACACAATATCAATAAACTTACTAGTAAAACAATTAAACTGGCCATACTTAATTAGGAAAATAATAACGAAAACAAAATCTATATTCCATAATTAGTTTGCTCAATCGTTGGACACTTTTTACTATTTACCCGAACTTTAAGGTTTTTTTAGTCATTTCAACCAAAATTTCGGACGTGGAATTCAAAACCGTAATCAAAAAAAATCTAAAACAATATATTCATATAACAATTATCTGTAGCGTGTCGTGTACATAAATTAAAGAAAGTCCCAGAACCGCGGGTTCGTGGAAAAGGAAATTATGGATTGAAAATGCCATATGGATCCAGCAGTGCCAACTGCCAAAATTCATATCTTGACAGGCTGTACCAATCCAAAAACTAAAAAAGGGGAAAGCAATGGGAGCCCAATTACATTCGTGGGTTCTCTTTTCTCTGTCTAAAAATGCTATCCAAATCCATTTGTGCCAAATTGTGGCCGAGGAAGTTAGTGGGAAAATGTGGCACTTGTCCGCTGATTCTGCAGATCACATGTAAATCCAAGTACGCATACACACACATATATATATAGAAAGAATCATTTTGGTATCGGTGTTTTATGAAAATTGCGCTTTTAGAGCTCGTTTAGTTCGCTGATTTGAGTTTTTAATTCGAGTTGATATGTGATTTTATGTGAGAGTTTTTTTATTGTAGTAAAAAAATTAGATATAACTGTTTTTGAGAGCTTTTTACTTTAACAAAACTCAAATCGGTGAAATAAATTGGACAATATTTTTGTTTTTGACAATTTTAAATTGATAGTGATACATGTCTCGATGTATTAGAAAATCTTTTTTTTAGTACTTTAAGGCCGCTTTGCTTTTTGAGACATGGATATTAAATTCACCACTATCATTTATTATTAGAAACTAAGGTGTTTAAAGTATTTTTTAAAATATGTTAGAGAGAGAGAGAGTTTGTGGAGAGGAGAGAGAGATAGAGTTTATTTATTTATTTTTTAAATATATTTAAAGCAATTTTTAAAATATGTAAAAAAAAAAAATTTAGTTTCTAATTGATTAATGATATGGACAAATATGAAATTTTATATCCTAAAAATGGAGGTATTAAAAAATAATTTTTTAAAACATCGAGATACTAATTTAAAATGATCAAAAACATAAAATATTAAAAGCATATTTTTTTTAATAAATACTAAAAACAGATTTTGATAAAATATAGGGTATCAAAATGATATTTTTTTCTAATATATATCATTTACAAATTGGAGCTGTTGCTGGATTATGCTTAGTTGGTTGATTGGCTCCGCGGTTGCTTGAGAACCAGCAAAACCTACGCGGATCTATTTTCAATTCATTCCTTTGATACTTCATTAGCTACTTCCCACGTAGCTCAACTTTTTATTATTCTTTCCATGAGGATCATGACAAATGATTTTCCTTCTTTTTCTTCTTATATTAGACTAAAAAGTTTGAGACCATTTTTGGCTTAATAATAAACAGTAATCAGTATGGACCATTTGAGTTAAATATTGGCAGCTTCTGGATTACACTTAACCCCTTATTTTATTATCATTAACAGTCACTCGGCATTTTTCATGAACTTCATAATTGTATCCCAAGACATTTTGTTGAAACGTTATAATTTTTATGTTTCATGTTTCCTCGGCAATATTTGATTATTAATAGACCGTGTTTATTTTATTGATTTAAGTTTAGAATGCAAATTTTGTTACAGTAAAAAATTATCAGAAATAGTCACATTTAATTTTTTATTACAGTAAAAAAAATCTCACATAAAATCACATCTCAACTCGAATCAACGAATTAAACGGAATAATTGATAATCGACAACAATAATTTTTGCTTTCCTGCCGCAATTAATTATGATTAATCTGATCTCTTCTTTTTTTCAAGGAAGAAAAAAATGGAACATTTGGATCGTTTTCACTTGGACGGACTCGCAGGAACCACCCTTCCTCTAATTGGAAAAGCGGCATCCCACAATATGTGATGATGTGAACAAGCACTCCGTCAAGCCGGTAATTGCGCGCCCAATTGTCTTTTCATTTGATTTGACCTTTTCTTATTCTGTTTCCAAATTTTTTCCGCTAATATATGTGAGAAAAATTTCATTACTAAATTAATAAATACATACTTAAAAATAATCGTAAATAACCATTAATGATAAGGAAATTTGAGCCTGAATATTGACTGAATCAAAAAATGAAGATAGATGAAACACGAGAGCAAGCACAACCGTTGAGATCCAATAGTAAAAAAAACCTCGCTCAAAATAAATAAAATCGAGCGCGATCAAAACTTATTAAAAATAACCTGATGCACTAGAATGGATAAGAATTAAATTTTAAATCTACCTATAAAAAGAATCTCACAAAGAGAAAACCCTCAAATTGAAGAGAACACTCAACTTTATATTCAATTATCAAATATTCAAATCTAATCATTACAATAGGTAATGTGGCTATTTATAAGATAGCAAAATATCCACTAAGACAAACCACAAATTAATAATAAAACAAAAGTAAATTAAAAAATAGAATAAATGAGAATAAAAAATATATATATAAAAACATTGCTTATATGTAAATTTCTCTACATCGAAACTGCAATAACAATTGATAAATAAAATCAGTCGACTTACATCAAACCTTAAAAACAAATAAATAAAGACATAAAAGGAAGTAACGTAATGCTTCAGTTGTTTAGCCCTAGCTAACAGATCAGTCAACGAGTGGCTTACCCCTGCAGTCTTGCCGGACATTCACACAACATATGTTAGCGCCCCAATGGCAATTGGCGAAATGCAGAGTATACCGCCGGCTTATCTTAAACAATTATTCCATGTAAAACAAAAATGCTACTGCTACTAATCCTTAAAAAAAAAAAAAAATGTTTCTCTCAATTGCATTGTGTATAAGCAGACGTTTTAAACACACGACTTTTTAATTATACATTTTATATAATTACGTCTCTATTAAAAGCTCGATGCCCACAGTCCCACACTATTAAATTGTGTTCATATTGGCCCAATAAACTGTAGCCTGCTGTCTTCAGTAAACTTTAGCTTATGAAATTTGCTGAATTTAAGTGCATTTGATTAGATTTTTACCTCTTATTTTTATTAGTACCCTCTTGACTAATATACTTATTTGACTAAAAATCAATGGGCCAAACATTAAAATGGTACGTTTTCTTATTTAAAAAGAGAAGGATTAATTACAAAATTCCCCTCGAATTATATCTCTTATAACACTTTACCTCTCAATCTTTAAAATTTAACATATGTTATCTCTAAACAATAAAATGTTTTAAAAAAAAGCCCCCTCTATTAAATTTTAACCGAAATTGACATTTAATTAATTATTTTAGGGGTACTTTAGTAGCTATATAGTTTGAGATTTAATTTGAATTTAAAATTACTTTAAATTTAGACTTTTAATTACAAAATACTCATCATTAGTTGGTTGTAAGTTAAAAATTTTATGAATCTTTTTTATTTTGTTATATGTAATTTAGGCAAAAAATTAGGGTGCGTGGATGAAATAGTAATTATGTTCTAAATTGTTTAACAACAGCTGATTTTTTATGGCACGAAAAAAAATTCAACTCTGCAACTTTTTATGATTGAAACTTTGTTACGGTATTTGTACCCCCACTTGCAGCTATATTTTTTTTCGTCTAATACTCTTACTTTTGGGTTTTTTTTATTACTCTATTAGGCTTTAACTTTAATTGACAACTATTTGATGACTTAGTTTCTAATTTAAACGGTGGAAATTGTAACCAAATAGTTATATACAAAATATAATATTAAAAAAAATTATAATTGAACTTTTCTGATGTTGAGTCTTTACGAAATTTTTTTTTTTTTTCTATTTTCTTTATTCTCTATTGCATAATACAAGTTTACAAACGCAAAAATTATGTTCCCCATCCAAAATAAACCTAAAATTCTCTTCTTTTTTTTTGTTCCATCACTTGAGAAATATATTTTTGATAGTAACGATAATAAATTTATCATGCGCCAGTGTCGAAAGATGAGAACAAAACAATTGTAATGTGAATCTTATTTATTAAAATTTTATTATGAAAACGTACTAAAAAAATTATTTTATTTTATATTGTTAATTTATAAACTTTAACTTCATTCATTAAACCGATTTAAATTTTTAATTTCAAATTTTTATAATAAAAAATTCTTAAAAAATATCACATTTAATTTTTTTTATTACAGTAAAAAATTTTAAAAAAAAATCACATCTCAGCTTAAATTAAAAACTCAAATTCGTCAAGTGAACGATACTTTTATGTTTATTTATGCCCACTGGATTAAAAGTTTAGCTATGTCCATGCCTCAGATCACATAACCTGATCCTGAAAATGAAGAATTATATTTCTTACCAAATGAGAATTGGACAGGGAATCGACAGATAATACAAATACAAGCTTGATTCCCGCGCAAGACCACGTAAACAAGCTAAACTCAAGGAATTACGAGCCAACAAAATACCGCGTGATTACAACGTGCGTAATTGCTTCGTAATAATTAAACTTCAGATTACAGACCAAGAGAGAAAGGAAATCCCGTGGCTCTCAACCAACTCCCTCCGGCAATGAAATTTCCGGCAGTGTACTGCTGAGCCTCACTGGCACCCGTGATAACCTTGTACCCCTTCCACGTCACCCTCTTCGACGTGTCGGCGCCGGCGCCGGTGTTCTGGTACTCCCTGTAAACCAGCGTGTTCAGCGCAAAGCTTCCGCTCCACTCGTGCCACCCGGCGGGGACGATCACGTTGCTGATGTCACTCTGCATGACCACCGTCCTCGAGTATTCCTTCCACGGCCGCCCGAGATATGTCGGGAAGCTGCTCTGGACGGGTTTGAGGTCCGAGGTGGCTCCGATACGGGACTTCTGGATCACGATTCCGGTGTTTTGGTTCGGGTCGGTTCGGCCCTGGGCAGTGACCATGTTCTTCTGGCCCGAATTGGGGCGGCGGGCGTGGATGTCGCAGTCCTGCAAGACCGCGGCGGCGTTGCCGAAGATGAAGTCGACGGTGCCGGCGACGAGGCAGTTTATGAAGAATTGGCGGTTGGAGTGGACGTAGAGGGAGTCTTGGTAGGCAAGCACGTCGCAGCGGTAGAAGGCGGAGAGGTCGGACCCGACCCGGAGGGCCACGGCTTGGTGCTTTGAGGGTCCGGCTGTGTTTTGGAAGGTTATGTCTCGTGCTAGGAAGCCCTCGCCAACCGCAGCTGCAAACATGTAGTGAAGAATTATTTATTTGAAAAATGCTAGTTAATTACTACTTGTTTTCTTAATCTGTTATTTGATATCAACATATAAAATTGTACCACTTGGAAATACGTGCAAAATTGTACAAGACCCTATGTCATAATTAGGTTAATTACAAAATTGACATATAAATCTGTGGTTAGTGAATAAGTTTTGGGTAGTGATGTTCTTCAACACCGTGCACAAGGAAAATGAATCCTATTCACTTATAAATTTATGATCTGTTTAGTTCGTTGATTCGAGTTTTTAATTCGAGTTGAGATGTGATTTTATGTGAGAACTTTTTACTGTAACAAAAAAGTTAGATGTGACTGTTTCTGAGAATTTTTTACTGTAATAAAATTTAAATTCTAAACTCAAATCGGTGAAATGAACGAGACCTTAATTTATTTAATTTTACCTAACATAACATGCACTAGATCGCATAAACAAACATTTACGCGGATTCTTAGGTAGACGAGAGAAATTTGAATGTGGATTTTTCGATACTTGACAAATGGAATCCGGTGCTAATGAGTTTTTAAATTCGATATTGTTTGATACGAGCCTACTGTAGTGGTGTGTGATGATTAAGAGGAAAATAATTGAAATTTTGTAGCAGAGCCAAAGCCAATTCTGAATAGTTTGGAACTCATCTAAAAGACAAAAGACAACTTGTACAGAAGATTAGAAAAAGAAAAGGATGGGTCAGACAGGGCCAAAAGCCATAGATATTAGATAGCATTATCCTTAGCCAAAAAAAAAAAAAAAAGCCATCGTATTATTATTGCAGGGCCGTGGCGCCCTCAATATCCACGTGTGGATTTTAGCGTGTTACTACTGACAATGGCTGCTAAATGCATTAAAACGAATTATAGTACGAAAGTGGTCTCGTGTTATCGTGTGTGGACAGTTTGAATAATTATTCCTACAACCACACACATGTCAAGGCATCGGAACTTTTCTACAAACCCCAAGCCTTAGCTGTAACCACAAGACAGATTTAAAATTATTTTTAATTTATATGTATTTTTTATAAAAAAATATTATAATAAATTACGAATCATAACACTAAACATCATATTAAGAGCCCTTCTAGAGTTAAATCTTATGCGTTTAATGTATATTTGTAATCATTAAATCTAATTAAAATCATATTAAAAATCTCTTTAAAGAAAAGACAGAATAAGTTTATAATATAAATTTAAAGACTAAAAATAAAGACTTAATTATAATTTATTTTTTCAGATTCTATCGTTGAAATCTCCTAAACTTAATTACAAAAAAAAAAATCATTTTACTGGATTATTCACAAGGTTTTAAAAATTAGATCTTATAAATTAAAAATAATTATGAATTATAATTTTAAATCTCGTGAGTTTATATCTTTACTCTTTCATAAAGCGTAGAATTTATTTGTGAAATTTAAGTGAAGTCGATCTTTTATGAGAGGGTAGAGATTCAGTCCTATAAAGACAAATAAAAGTAATCATGTCGGTCCCGTTTATTTCGCTGATTCGAGTTTAGAATTTAAATTTTGTTATAGTAAAAAGTTCTAAAAAATAATCACATTTAATTTTTTTACTACAGTAAAAAATTTTCACATAAAATTACATCTCAACTCAAATTACAAACTCGAATCAACAAAGTGAACAGACCGTAATAAACGTGACATGATAAAAGGGGTAGAGATGCCAGCAAAACCAGTTCAGATCTAGACTACAATTAAAGGGAATCTATACCTTTTTATTTATTTATTATTTTCAATTCAAGACTAATGCCAGCAAAACATATCTAGAAGAATCGATTCGAGGAAAACACTTATTTCAAACAAAAAGAAGAAGAAGAAAAAAAAAAACACTTATAAGAAGGAAGGATCAAAGAAGCATCCTCTATTCTGCTGGAATATGCTAAAATGAGAGAAAGTTGTCCAATAATAAGACAAATCAAACACTACGGGCTTAAAGTGCAATTAAGACGAAAAAGGAACCAAGGCCCACCAGGGGTAATGATGAGTGATGACACTTGCTTTGATGTATAAACATCTTTTAAAATAGAAAAAAAAAAAAATCTACATCATCTTAAAATTAGCATTGTTTTTTTTGTTTGTTTTGTTTTCGTTATTTGTCGTTTTCTCTCATGTGGTGATAGTTTTTTTTCCCCCTTCGAAAGTGATTGACACTAGCGATAGTTATTGCTAGAAAAAGAAATCTCTAGACTCTAGCTTTCAAGAGGGGGAAAATATTTTATTTTCTAACACATATATATGCCATCGAGACATATATATCATCATGCACAAACCTCTAGCTTCAAACTTGGTTGAAAAAATATCCCTAATTAATTGTACACATTTTCCACAAAAAAACACGACAAAATAGACAATGTAGTAAAGATGATATTAATTAACTATGAATAGAGAATAATGTATAGCTTTTTTCAAATGCCACGGCCATGTGCATATATTCTGCCATTTGCATGCATGCTTACCCACAATTTTTGACAATGGGCCTAGGAACAGGACAACTTTGCACGGAACAGAACATGGGTTGCCTTACCAAAATTTGGTTGCGTGGAAACTATTATTGTTTCAAAAGACGAATATTTAACAAGTGGGAGCTAGCTGGGGGAGAAACGTCAGTGATCGGGACAAATCGCACTTCTTGATTTTAAGACCATTCAGGGCTCTAGATTAGATATAAATTTAAACAAACTTGACTGTCAATATAGTCAACAATTTAAAATTATGATTTAAAATTATTGTTAGTTTATGTGTATTCTTTTTAAAAAAAATATTATAACGAGTCACGAATTATGATTTAATGTTTGGCTCAAGAATTCGTGTCATGATTTGAATTATGGTTCATGGCTCGTTATAGTGTTTTCTCTTACAAAAAACACACGTAAATTGAAAATGATTTTGAATCTATCAACTAAACGTTTACGAATTATGATTCGAATCATGACGCGAATTTTCATATCAAACATTAAAGAATATAATATGCAAATTGGAGATTTTTTTTAAGCACTGAAAAAATAAAACGAAAAGACTGTTTTTTTAACCGAAAAATTCATATAAAAGCTATATGTATATATTTTTTTAATATGATATAATTTTAATTAATTTAATAATTAAAAGTTAACTCTAATTCTACCTAAGAAGGCCTGTATAAATATATGTACTTCATCTCCGCTCGAATATTCATCCCACTTAGATGGGACCTCAGGCTGAGTTGAGTTGGGATGTTTAACATTTTTCCATACACGTAGCTGTTAAAGACTTTCACCCGCAAAGAAAAGGCAGACATATGAAAATGTTTTAGGGACACAAAGTATTATTACAGTAATTAATACTCTCATACTTTTAGGGTGAATTTTTGACTAGCTAAAACTAGTAGCGATCAATTCACAGCTAAAATAAAAAATATTAATGATCAACTGGGATATTCTGGTAGGAAATGCATACATCAAAGGACCACTTCTGTTAAAAAAAATTTTTTAAAAAAAAAAAGAGGATTTTTTGTTAACATTTAACTTTCTTTTTTTTTTTTTTTGAGCGGTTTTCTCGTTTACGTGGAATTCAGGCCATTCATACATTTATTAGATGCAATTTGAAGTCTCTTTTTTTTTTTTTGGCTGGAAAGTTTTGAAGTCATATGCTACATCATTATGTTACCTAACCTCATCCATCGATTCTGTACCTCCTACGTCCACAAAACCTACTTTCTATTCTCTACCTTATCGTTACCCCTATATACCCTACAGATCTAGTCCAATACGCATAACACGACAAAACTATTTTAACAGAGCAAAAGGAAATAACAAAATGAAAGCAACAAGACACTGATTACGTTCATTTTATTAATTTAAATTTAAATTTAAATTTTATTACAATAACAAATTTTTAAAAATAAATATATTTAATTTTTTTACTGTATAACAAATTTTCGTATAAAATCACATTTAAATTAAAATTAAAAATTTAAATTAAAAAATTAAACTAGACATTACTACAAAAATTTGAAAGCTTTTACGGTACAAAGTGCAACAATTTAGTGACGCTTGTTTAAATAAAAGTCCGAAAAAACGTTGTTAATTATAAGATGATTTTTCTAGTCAGTGTTATTTTTGTAAACAACCCAAATATTTATTAATTAATGCGGTACTTACCAACAGTGGCGGAATTGAAGGTGGTGCTTCCGTCAACCACATTCCTGCTCGCGGTGATGATGGTGGTGGTCCTCCCATCTCCGAGGAACATGATGTTCTTCTTCTTCTTCGAAACATCCACATTCTCTCTATAAACACCCGCCTTAATCCTAATTACGTATCTCGTCTTACTGTTATCCGGAGCCGCCGCCACCGCCGCCGCCGTGTAGCCCCCGCTCCCGTCCTTCGCCACCACCACGTTCGGCGTCACCGACGACGACTGCAGCAGCCTCCTGTCCGCCGCCGACATCCACACCGGCCACCCCTCCCCATCCACCTCCGTCCCCGCCACGCCGTGATCCTCCTGGAGCTTCCTCCCGGCCGTCTTCCTCTCAGTGGCGATGTCGGTGTCGGTCATGTTTTTTATCATGGCCAGCACATTGCTGCACAACTTTTCCACGTGCTCCTCCCCCTTGATCAGCGCGTCCCGCACGTGCTCGTCGGCCTTGTCGTGCGAGAATCCGTCCAGACAAGTCTCCTGATTGGTTATGGCGGAGCTGAGAAGCGTCAGAAAATCATCGGCGTGCTGTTTCAGAGACTTCGTGTTCGGGTACTGCTCGAGATCGTCTTGAACTTCGTGAAGTTCGTCGAGCGTCTCATCGATGGTCTCCAGACAGTCGTGGAGGGCGGTCTTCTCTCTCTTCGTCAGGCCCTTCCGCTTCGTCAGCTTCTTGATGCTGAAGTAGTTCTCTTGGACTGCGGTGATCGTGATGTTCACCGAGAGCCCGATGACGTCCTTTAGATTTGACACCTTTTTGCTGCCTCCGGACGAAGCCGAAGCGGCGACGGCGGAGTAGCAGAGATCCGGGTAGCGAGTGCTGCTGCAGGCGGATTTCAACACGGCGTGGGTGGCGCCGTCAATGTGGGCGGCGGAGACCGAGCTCTTTCGGGAGTTTACGCCGGCGGCAATGCCGATAACGGCGGCGACGACGACGAGAGTGGCGAAGAGGGCTATGAAGACCTTCTTTTGCTTCTTGCGTCTGCCGGAGTCCGGCATTACTCCGGCGAAGGGCACTTTATCGCTTGACATTGTTTTAGTAAAGAAAGAGAGAGATAGAGGGAGCTTGGACTAGAGTTGAGCTGTGGGGTGTTTATAAAGGCATAGTTGATCAGTAGGAATTTATTGCTGCTGTTGAAGGGATATTTTTGAATTTAAATTTTTGTAATAATTTTGGGATAACAACTCATTGAACGTAGTTAGGTTACTTAATTTTATTAATTTGAGTTTAAAATTTAAATTTATTATAATAATTTTTTTAAAAAAATAATTACATTTAATTTTTTTATTATAATAAAAAAAATTACATAAAATTATATCTCAATTTAAATTAAAAATTTAAATTAACAAACTAAATGGGTTATACTCTAATCATAGTACTCTTCTCTTTTTACTTTCTTTTCTTCATTATTTTTCTACGACATTATATTGGTATTCTTTTTTTATTCTTTCTTTTTGAATGATTGGTTACATTAGCAGTTTAGAATAGTTGCAACTTTCATATTTTGGTAGTCTATTGATCTAAGGTGTGTATGATGGGTATATTTGTAGAAGTAAATTATTATACTGTAACATAAAATAATGAGCCTGATAAAAATAAAAATAAAAATAAACATGTAAAAATGACGTCTAACATAACATTTTTACTACATGTAACTTCAACTTTTTTTAATCAATAGCTGTAATCCTTTTGTCTATTAATTTATTACAAGTTGATAAAAATATCGTAATTTATAACAGCACCAAGCGGAACTTTTTAAAAAAGAGAGTTCTTTTGTATTTGCAATATAAAATATTATAATTGGCGATTTTTTTTCTCTCTTTTACTTCTAAATTTCTACTTTTTTCCGGCAGCCATAGAAAAGTAAAAACTTTTGGATTGTTATTTTAGAGAGTAATTTGAGTGTAATTTTTTAATTAAATTTGAGTTATAATTTAAATTGAAGTTATAACTTAAATAAAGTTAAGTAAAATTAAATAAAGTTAAAATTTAAAAGAACGTGAACTTAAATAAAATTAAAATTTAAGTTATCTTTTTTAAAAATTTTTTAAACAAAAGAACATGCCCTTTATTTTTCTTCTTTTGTTTCTTATCTTTTTCTTTGGACCAGTAGTGTTCTTTTATGTTCTTCTCTATTTTTTGTTTAGGAGATTTTTATAATACTACATGGAATAATGAGCCTGATAAAAATAAAAAAAAAATAAAAAACATGTAAAAAGGATGTCTAACATAACATTTTTACTACATGTAACTTCAACTTTTTTTAATCAAGAGCTGTAATCCTTTTATCTATTAATTTATTACAAGTTGATAAAAATGTCGTAATTTATAACAGCACCAAGCGGAACTTTTTAAAAAAGAGTTCTTGCAATATAAAATATTATAATTCAAGCTTTTTTTTTTTTATTTGAACTCTTTTACTTCAAAATTTCTACTTTTTTCCGGCCGCCACAGAAAAGTAAATAAAAACTTTATTTTACCCTAATAGGTATAGGTATTTTCTTTCTTTTGTTTCTCATCTTTTTCTTTGGACCAGTAGTGTTCTTTTATGTTCTTCTTTACTTTTTGTTCAGGAGACTTTTATAATATTGGGATCTAAAAAAAGTAACTATTAGTAAGTTAAATTTATATTAAAAACTTATGTTCTGCAAGTTTTTAATTTTAATGTAATTTTAAAAAAAGTAACTATTAGTAAGTTAAATTTATATTAAAAACTTATGTTCTACAAGTTTTTAATTTTAATGTAATTTTAATCAACAGTTAAAAATGTACATTAAAAACTTTTTTTTTTTGAATCTCACTTTAATCCTTCTAGGCTCTAGCATCAGGGAATTATTGTTCACGTGGAACAGGGATTCCTTTTGGCATTTCACAGACTCATGTCCGCCAAATATATACTACTTTTCTGTATTTGCAGTATAGTATTTTCTGTATATGCATTTATGAGAGAGGGACGCATGCATATACATGTTCCAAGTTGCACACCACATAACCCCAAGCATAAGTCAAATTTATCGTCTTTTAGTCTGTAATTATGCTTTTTCTATTTGCATCTATCACGTTTTCTTATCATTATTATTTACTTTTCAGTGATATTTTTTGTTTTTATGTTATTCTTGTTTTTAATATAATTGACATTTTATTTTGTTGAAAATAAGTATAATTGATAAATATAATATTGTATATATGCCCCTTACTCGAGTCACACATGTATCGGTATATAATATTCAATATGGCAAATGAAGTAAAGTACAAATAATATTTATATGTTTTGCCATACGTTTTCAAAACTATTCACATGATTTTATTGTGCCTGGGTAAAATAATTGAAGAGATTTTTTAGTATGTCTGACGTATTAGTATATCAAGTTTTTTTAACCGTTAGATCTGCGTACTTTTTAATTTTTACGTGATTTTGTACTAATAGACAGAAAAACTTGATTTATCAGTATGTTGATGTATATGAGAAGTTCCCAAGTAATAATAAACGGAGTAGAATAATTAGTATCTCTTTTTGGTGTATAATAATGCACGATTCTTGTTTAGAACAAAATTAATAATACAAGATCCCATTAATTTAAATTTTACCCAGAGAAGTTGTGTTAATTTCTTTCCATTGTGGTCGAATATTTATCTATTCCATTAATCCATCATTTTTTTTCACCTGCTTTTATTGAGTTGTAAAGTCATGTTCAACTTTTAATACTACTCCATAGTTAATTTTTTTTCCTTCTTCTAACGAAACATGTCATCGCCCAAAAATTTAACTATAGTGAATGAACTTAATATATATATATATATATGTATATATTCATATTTGGGTGTGGTTTAATGGTTAGTCTAATATTTATCTATTAATGGATATTTTTATTTTAGCCATAAGATATTAATTTGACGGATGTAATAAATTGAATAGTTAATTAAAAAATTAATGACAATTAATAAAATTAAATTTTTATCACGTCACATCATTAAATTTTTATATTTAAAGGTGACCATCAATGAAAACGAAAACGTAACCATTAAAAACTTGTATACATGTTATAACCCTTCCCTATTTGTTCTCTTACGTGTATAGTTATGCCATATTAACAGTACGTTTGCAAACCCTAGCTTTAATTGGCTTGAGTTTGGTGGCAGGCAGGTGCTTCCAGACTACAGCTAAGCAAATATAATCAATATGCATTACAATAATCCAATTTAATCAAACTCCTTAATTCATAGCATGGGCATCTCATCACGCGAGGGTTGGGTTAGTTTGGCGAATAATAATGTCGTAACTAAAAATTAATATTTTTGGAATTCGCATTAAAGCGGAGTTATTTCCCTAAAAAAATAATAAAAATAGCGGAGTTATATATTTCAATCAATCCTAAAGAGTTAGCTTTGTTCATTCACTTATTTGAGTTTTTAGTTCTAAGGGCTTGTTCTTTTGAGTGAAAAACTCAAAAAAATACAACTCGAGTTACAACTTTATTCGAGTTCATGTTCTTTTAAGTTTAAACTCGAGTTTAGGACTAAAACTCGAGTTCAAGTTTTCCCTTCAACTCGAACTCAAATTAATGAACAGTATTTTTTCTATTCTTAAAAATGCTATAACTTTTTCTTTTTAATTCTGATTGAGATGATTTTTTTTTCTATGTGTTGATAACGAAAAGACGAATAAAACCCGACTCATATACCATATTAAAATTTTTCATCAGCATTGAATTTTTATTAAATACTATCTAAATACAAATTTAAGTTTTGACTCACTCAAACACAAACTCAAAAAGATTCTTATCTCAAACCATAACTCAAATGTATACAACCAAACACAAACTCAAGTTACAAGTTCAACTCAAGTTATAACTCAAATTCAACTCAAGAATTATACTCAAGTTAAACTCCAAAAGAACAAGCCCTAAGTTTCTACAATTAAAAGCTCTAAGAAAATATCACATTTAACTTTTTCTGCTACAGTTAAAAACTCTTAAAAAATATCATATCTCAAATCGAATTAAAAACTGAAATTCGTAAAGTGAACGCGACTTAAGAAATTTCGCTCCAAATTAGGAAGAAAATGCCTTTGCAGTAAGAAAATGTAGACACGTTACTAAAAGTGTACCGTTGAGCACAAAATTTCATAACGACATATGAAAAAAAAAAAAAAATGTTTAAAAGAACATGTGATAAACGACATGATTTTATAAAAAATTGTATGCAGATAAGGTGTGTCCTCAACGGAGTAAATGCTTACCTACCTAGTGCAATCAGATGATCACATTTTCTGTTGTGAGTAGGACACATGTTAATAAGTTCGATCCCAACAAATGAAGATGAGATTAACGCGACTCCGTTCATTTTGCTGATGCGAGTTTTGTTACAGTAAAAAGCTCTTACAAACAATCACATCTAATTTTTTTGCTACAATAAAAAGCTCTCACATAAAATCACATCTCAACTCGAATCAGCGAACTAAACGGGCCCATACGCACCTTTATGAATCATTTTGAGAATTTATTTTAAAGTATGTTTGATCAAGAAGAACGTTGTCTAATTTAAATTGTATGGTCTTAATCAATAAAAGTATGAATATTTTTTTCTCGAAAGACAAAATGATATTTTAAAATTTTGAACCAAACTAACAATGTGTGGTGCTATTTGTTTTCTTCGAGACAAAAATAATTTAAAATTGGGACATAAAATGTTGAGATCTAAAGAGCAATTAGAAATATACAATGAGTTGCAAAAGCTACACATGCTTTTATCTCCATTATTTTTAGATTATACCTTGATAAAGGAAGAAGAATATTGATTCTTAATTTGCTTGCTTGTCTAATTAGTCTAAAAGTACTGTAAAAAAAGAAATAGAAAGTAAAGGAGATAGGAATTAAAAAATTTGCTTTTATTCTCCCAGGGCCGTTATGTCTCGCCATTTGAAAATTTTCTAGAGTGGCAATCTTTACATGATAGCATTTGGTAAGTATAAACAAAAGTTTCTCAATTTAATACATCTAAATAACAATATCATATTCAGAAAAGAACATTAATGACCATAAGCATAACAAATAATTAGCATTTATAAAAATAAGTAAAATAAGTAAACAATACA